AGGGAGAGAGGGAGAGAGGGAGAGAGAGGGAGAGAGAGAGATAGATTTAGAGTTCTGGGTCCTCGTTTCCTCCAGCCCTCCCCTCCCAGTATGAAGGTCCAGCCCCAGTACAAAGTCTGACCCTGTTATACTGGGAGTTTCAGGGCAGAGAAGCAGAAAGCAGATGAACCCGATGAGGAAGAAACGCTTCAGTGGTTTTCTTCAGATTAAACAGACAAAATACTGAAACTAAAAGCTGCTGATCTGCAGTAGAACCGGATCAAACTTCAGCTCCGTTTTCCCTCAGAACCGACCAGAACCGACCAGAACTCACCATGGAGGGAACAAACGGCGCCAGGATTCCTCCGACTCGGCAGGACATGGAGCACACTCCCAACCCGGCGTTCCTGCAGCACAAACGGCTCATTTAACCTCTGACCCCTCCCAAACCGAGCCCAGGTGTGGCTGAACGCCTCCAGGTCACCTGATCACAGTCGGGTAGAGCTCTGAGGTGTAAACGTAGGCGATGTTGAACGCGGCGCTGACCATCAGCTTCCCCAGCAGAGCCAGAGACGTGATGCTCAGCAGAGACCCTGAGAGGAGGAAGGAAAGGAAAGGAGGAAAGGAAAGGAAAGAAGTTAAGTTTATTAGTACGTCTCATCTCAGCAACAAGGCAGGTCAAAGAGCTTTACATCATAAAAACATCAGTCAGCAGTGATGAAAGAAGCAATAATCATTACATTCTACCAAACAAAATCACACAAATGTGTTTATCGATGTTACATTTATTACTAATCAAGGGAAAGAAAGGAGGAATAAAAAAGGAAGGAGGGAATGATGGGAAAAGGAAAGTGAGAGAGGAAGCTAAACGAACGTCTGACGATTTCAGAATCTGCCAGGAAGTTTCTGTCAGCTTCTGAACAATTTCTAAAGAGGAACCAACATCGTGGCCTCTCTCCTCTTCCTCACTGAACATCATCATCATCATCATCATCAGACTGAGCCGTACCCCCCTGCAGCAGCAGGAAGCAGAACCTCACCTGAGTTCTCGGGGATGAGCGTGGTGCAGAGGCAGGCGGAGCCGGCCAGGAACAGGAAGCTGGACATGCTCTTCCTCCTGCCGGCCCTGAAACAGGAAACCGCAGCGGATCAGCAGAGAAGCCGTCTGTTATTATCAGGAAGGAGACCAAACGTCTCTGGCGGGTTCTATTATTATAGCTATAAGGCTAACGTTAGCATGATGGCTATCACTGGCACCTTGAGTAACTAGCATGTTGCAGCTTCCAGTAGAATCACCAGCATGTTGACCAATGTTGACTTACTTTGTAAAAATTAGCTAAAATGCCAATGCTAGCTTGATAGCTACTACTCATCTGTGGGCTATCATTAGCATGTTTACCGACTAGCATGTGAATATTCTGAGTTTTTGAGATGCGCCTGTAGAATAAAACATTTTTCCTTCAGGAGGGTCAGGATCCGTTACTGTTCACCCAGCCTCGTTAACTCTGGAGCCCCGCAGGGCGCCGGTCCGACTGGGGCACCGGTCCGACTGAGGGGCCGGTCCGACTGGGGGGCCGGTCCGACTGGGGGGCCGGTCCGACTGAGGGGCCGGTCCGACTGAGGGGCCGGAGCCCCACAGGCATGTCGGCTCACCAGCTCTTATTGATGAAATAGATGCAGAGCGGGTAGGCCGGCAGCTCCACCAGGCCGTACATGGCCACGTTAACGAAGCGACTCCCCGAGGTGGCGCTGGCTCCCAGGGTGAGGCCGTAATACACCAGGCTGCAGCAGTACCTGCAGCACGCACACACACACACACACACACACACACAGGTAGAGCGTTACCTGAGATCTGCTGAACGGGTCTCAGCTTCATCTTTTACTATCAGATCAGGAACATTGAACATCGGAGCTGGAAGAAAATTAACGGTAAAGAAAAACTTTCCTGTCCTGGAATAAAAAATGTGAGCAGGCCGAAAACACGAACTCTACTGTCTCAAAGGCCATTTAGCACTTAGATCCACACCCTGCTGACATCATGTCATCCAGCAGATGA